ATAGTCCTCAATATACAACCATTAATTTAGTGACCAAAGTTGCAATGGCACTGAAAAAACCGATTTACCTGCAGTCTTCACACTTAAGACTGATCCCTACAATCATGTGATTAAAATTTGGACTCTTGGCAACTGGCATGTATTTATTTATTTATTTATTTGATTTGTCAATTGCTTACAAGATAATACGTATAAGTAGTTATGAATACATGAAATGGGTACATATAAGAAAAATAAAAGAAACAATAGGACAGGGACGGTAGGCACATTGGTGCGCTTATGCATGCCCCCTACAGCCCTCTTAGGAAAGAGGTCAATAGTAGACAGTCTAAGGTTAAAGTTTTGGGGGTTTGGGGAAGAAACCACAGAGTCAGGTAGACTATTCCAGACATTGACCACTCTGTTGCTGAAGTCGTATTTCCTGCAATCAAGTTTGGTGCGGTTAACTTTGAGTTTGTATCTAGTGTGTGCTCTTGTGTTGTTATGGTTGAAGCTGAAGTATTCATTGACAGGCAGGACATTGCAATGTATGATTTTATATACTATACTTAGATCAGACCGAAGACGGCGTAATTCAAGGTTTTCTCGGTCTAGAATTTCAAGTCTGGTGGCATAAGGTATTCTACAACGAGTAGAGGAGTGGAGAACTCTTCTTGTGAAATATTTCTGGATTTTCTCAACTGTGCTAATATCAGATACGTAATGCGGGTTCTAGACTGATGAGCTGTATTCGAGTATTGGTCTAGCAAATGTTTTGTATGCTCTAGTTAGTAGAGTGATATTACTAGAGAAAAAGCTACATAGGATTAGGTTAACAACTCTTAATGCCTTTTTGGCTATGTAGTTACAGTGGGCTCTAGCACTTAGATCATTAGAGATGAGTACTCCAAGGTCCTTGACAGAGTTTGGATCCTCAACAGGATCTTGACTATTCAGCTTGTATTTTATTTTCGGATTTTTTTTTGCCAATATGTAAGACAGAGCATTTATTTGTTGAGATTTGAAGTTGCCATTTGTTTGACCATTCTGATACATAGTCAAGATCTTTTTGAAGGGTAGCAGTATTGTCTGTGGTATTGAACAGCATTACATCATCAGCGAAGAGAACGCAGTTGCTCTTAATATGATCACAGAGGTCATTTATGAAGAGATTTGGTCCTAGAACACTGCCTTGGGGGACACCACTATTGACAGGTACAGAATTTGATAGGACACTCCCAATTTTGACCATTTGTTGTCTGTTTGACAGGAATGCTTCTATCCAGTTATGCAGTTGTCCAGAGATACCATAAGATTTTAGTTTTAGGAGTATTTGTCATGTACCACTGAATCAAAGGCTTTACAGAAGTCTATGTAGATTGCGTCTATTGCTTTGCCCTGATTGAGTTGTGTAGTCCGTATGTTTTTGCAGTGTAAGAGTTGCAGATTACAGGATAGTTTTTTCCTGAAACCAAATTGTTTATTGGAGAGTAG